CTTGGTTACAGGCTGGAGGGCGCAGACCTCGCAGCTTCCCCTCCAGCTATTTCACAGCAATACAGATACTTCATCTGTAAATGCAGCTTCGGGTATCTTCTCTATTGGGCAAGCCCATATGTTTACTTAACCAGGTATTTGTACGCTGTTAAAGGCTTAGCCTGTCATTCTGTCTTCGCAGTTACCTAATCAATAGCTTGGTCTCAACATAGCTTAAATATTGAGCTTATTCTTCTTCTTTTGATCCTTTCCGCATATCTTTTTCCAGTCATCAGGGATGTTTCCCTGATTCTGTGTGTAACCCGAGTACCCTCTCTGACACAGAAGCGTTTCTGGCTCCGTGCACTGATGCGACATACAGCCTTGCCATTCCCTTACTGTGAAACATTGCTAAGGGGGAAGCTCCCCCCCACCAGGCTATGTGCTGTAAACTAACGCCGGATTTCGTCACCGGGCACCCTCCTTGCCACAACAGCCTTCTGCCCAGCCTCGACAAGTGCAGTCGTGTATTGTTTCGCACAAAGAGCTGCTGTAAAGGTCGCTCTACCCTCTTGCTTTGACCAGGGTACCCATCTCTTGGCGCGTTTCTGCTGGCCCCATCCTTCGGTTGCACCAAACCCTACGTCTCTTCTTATTTTTTTTTTATTTTTCTTTTCTTTTTTTTTCTTCTGCATCCTGTCCGGCGCATCCCTGCCTGGCTCGATTTCGATGTGAAGTACTTATCCTTGCCTCTGACTGGTTCACAGCATCAGTTTCTGTAACCTCCTTGATGCATTTTCAAATAAGTGCCTTTGTGCTTTCTTCTCTGCAGCTCTCATGCTTGGAGGGTTTCTCCGTACAGTTTGCAGAGCAATTGCATTGTCCTCCTCAACGTTTCCCTTTTCCACGGTGACAACTGTTTCGTTGCTGCCTGTTTTTCTGTAGCCATCCACTGCCTTTCACAGACAACTTGGCGTGCTGTGTTTGCACTTGGGTGTAACACAGTGGCCCCTCGGCCTGAGCCTGGGCTTTCTAGGCACATCAGCGAGACAAATAACGAGCGTGGTAACAAATGAGTTCTGTATTTATTTATTGAGCACCAGAATTCAGTTGCTGTTCTTCCTTACCATTATCAAGCCCAAACAGAAGTCAGAGCCGTGTCGCCTGGCTGGCTGGAGAGCAAGCCCTTTTGGGTGGGTGCTGTTGTCTTCTGGTCAGTGCCGCACTGTGCACGCAGCCGGGGCTCCGCGGCAGAGAAAGGAGCGCCTGGTGCCACCGGTCATTTTCCTGTTTTGTTTTCCACCGTAACTCATACAGAAGGATACAGAGAGGCCGCAGCAACGTGCAGATCTTGTTCCCTGGAATGTTTTCTTTCATCTGTAATCACTTCATCAAAATCTGTAAATCAACTAGTCAAGACTAAAAAGCACAAACATGACTGTAATTTGTGCCTTCCTGCCCCGTGTTTGTTTTGGCATGCGAAATACCAAACCTTTTCCTGAAAAAATTGATGATGACACCGGGCAAGGATTCAGTGAAACTGGACAGTGAGGCCACTTGCATTCCAAGTCCTCTGCCTGCTTCCATCATCCCTGCTTCCTTTTCCTTCATTGTAGAAGATTTGGAGAGTAAAACATGGGGTTGTATTTCTGTATTTGCTCTGGAAATCACAATTTCAGGCTTGTGCTGGGTGCTGTTAACACCTGACTGGCCCAGGCAGGCCGCGAAACCGTGCAGGAAGGAAGCCTTGATTGAGAGGCCAAGGCTGCAGGCCCTGTCACATGCCCTCTCCTGGCTCCAGCAGTGCCTAGGGAGATTAACAGCACCTCAGCTGCCGTGGTGATTACCGCTCTCCGGCGTCTGTCAGCGTGACCACGCTACGGCTCCGTCAGCTGCTGCCACCCAAACCCTCCCAGGAACTGCAGAAACCTCATCGGTCTTCTCTAGCCTGGAGCGGTTCCACCTAACGGGGTGGGAAGTGATCTAAAGGGATGACACCTTTACTGGGGAGACACTGGTGGGCACGGGGAGGAGGTGATGGCAGCCCTGGAGGGGCGAGGACAGGAGGCCGGGGGGCAGACCTGGTGAGCAACAACTCTGCTGCTTTTCCCGAGTGAGGCCAGGGGTGGAAAAGGCTGGTGGGCCCCAACAGCTTCGTCCAGAGATCTCAAGAGAAAGCTTGCTTTTTTTTTCTTTCCCCTTGGGAGAGGACTCCAGGGTCTCTCTTTTCTGATCCTTGGGGCCCTCACTACAGGAAAGACGTTGCGTTGCTGGAACATGTCCAGAGAAGGGCAGCGGAGCTGGGGAGGGGTCTGGAGCCCCAGGCTGCTGGGGAGCGGCTGGGGGAG